CTTTCAGGAAAATATATATGTATAATTATCTGATTTATTTTTGAAACTGTTTTTGGATAAGTAACATGTCTACAATTCATATGCCATGAAACTAATAAAGCTAGTAATAAAATACTCTGTTAACCAGAACACAAGAGTTCATCCTTGTATTTTCATAAAACCATATTAAATCTAAACTGGAACATCATTGTATTAAGAACACTATGAAACACTGCTGCCATCTACACAAATTAGTATTGAAGAAATTTGGCATCTGTTTCACTTTCATTTACAGTAATTTTTTTTTAGGCAGAAGCTTCAGGAACCTTGCTGCTGGGATGATTATGCACTTTATTGAATTTACTTATTTTTAACTTGTTGTGTATCATTTCTCAAAGGAATGGCTTTTTCTTCTGCTATGGTTCTCCAGCAAAAGTTAAATCCGTAAATTTAATAAAACAAGGACACTGTGATAAGCATCCAAGAGACTGTTTTAAATAGTATTCAGAACAATTCTGCTTAAGCATAAGAAAAAAACTCCTAGGAAGATTCATTTCCACTCACCCGGATTTCCACTGACTCACTATGTAACTTCCTGAAACATCACTATGTAACTTCCTGATATATTCTGTATATACTATAATTTTCCATTTGTCTAAGGTAAAAATAATTCTCTCCAAAATAAAAAACTAACTCTCCTGCCCAACCAACCTATGAACAGCTAACCATCATTTTAAGAAGTCACTAAAGAAATAGTTCATATAGTGCTAGACTACAGCCAGTTTCTCTATGTCAGTAGAAATCTTAGTTCATACATATATTTCCTTTTTATGGTGAATATATTTAATTCCAGATAGTCAAAAACATCAGTGCAAGTTTAGCATAATTCCCCAGTATCCAATTCTGTGACATTCAGGATTAAGAAGCACTCTGTAGGCCCAAGGTTTTTTTCCACTCATGAAAACCACAGAAACCAGAAAATCGCACAAACCTGGAAAACACAATTCTAAATTATATTGGCACAACAGTGAAACTGGAATTTTACAGCCACAAAGTCATTGTGCTTCTACTGTTCCTATAAAGCTACACCCACCACTACCTCTCATTACCCACTGTCTCATTCAAACCCTTTTCCCTTCTCCAATAGTCTATATCACCTCATGTGGTCAGCACTCTGTCAAAGGCTATATGCCAAAAGGGAGCTGGCAGTCACCTTCCCAAGGCACAGCATAACAGCACCACAGCCCTCACAGTTGCTTTCAGGAGAGGAAATGAAATCTTGAAAACAGAAAGGAAAGCCTGACAAACACACTGGAAAGGAGATATGATCAAATAAAATGCAACTGAACAAAAAAAAGAAAATTAGCAAATTTAGTAACTACAATCAAATGGACCAGGATGAAATGAGGTGCAGTGAAAAGGGCCAAAACACACCAAAACTAACCTCACAGATGTTGCAAAATCGGCGGAAAAAACCAAACACGAAGACAGAACATCGAGGGGAAGATATGAATGAAATGGCATGGATACTGAAAAAAAAAAAAAAAAAAAAAGATCTTCACTGAAGGGAAAACCATCAAAAGGCATGGGATGCCATGAAGTACAGGGGTATGGACCAAAGCTTGCCAAATTGACCCTCATCAAAATTGCAAGATTTCATTTCCTTTCCTGAAAGGATCTCAAATTGCCTCCTGTGTACACATATCACGCTCAGAGCTCTTCTCAGAGAGAAGGCAGAACTTGGCCCTTGCAACCCTAAGGGGAATTTCCAGATAGATAAGTGTCCAGGTTCTTTTAGTAATATAAAGACTTGGGAGTTGCAAAAGGTGAAATTTGAGTCATAGGCCCTACAGGGACTTACTGCATTATGGTATTTGGCATCAAACACTTCATTTAATCATGGTGAGTAACATGCCCCACACATTCTACACAAGCTCCTGGAGACATTTTTCAAATGTCCAAGGCTGTAACTACTACACTAGAGCTAGAGATTACCTTTCCACCCTTCCTTCGTGACCTCTGTACCATGCTCACACATTCTGTGCTCTGGTGAGAGCTAGAAATTACACCAGCTCCAGTCAGATTCAGATTTTCTTTCCACCACAGAAACTACATGCTCAGCAGCATGAAGTCCCATATTTTACTGCTTGCAGCTGTAGTAATACTGAACAAACATTTCAATTATTTTTCTACTCCAGAGCAATACCTGAAGATTATTATACCAATAATGTGAATTTTGTTTTTAATTTATATGCAACTGATATATTGGAAGCTAATTTTCAGAGAAAACAAGGGGAATAATTTCATATTCAATAATATTTACTTCTCACTTTAAATACATAATCATTTTTAGATTGAACTCTAATAAAAATTGATTATATTTCATTATTTTTACTCAAAACTTCCATTAAAACAACATTGAAATGGTCAGTTGCAATGTTTAAGCCTAAGCATATCAATGAGCAGGACAGGGAATGTTTGAGAAAGAAACTTTAGCACACATGAGAAATTCCATTGTTTGTAGGGACTTGAAGAGGAACCAGCCTCTTCATGCTTCAAGAAAATAATTAAGACTGTCCAAAAAAGAAGAACAGGTAACAAAGTGAGGGAGGAGAAAATTAACAAAGCATAGCAACAGGAAAAAGAGGAAGGAAAGCAAGCAAGCAGCCAGAACAGTAATGAAAATCTCACTTGGTAACTGTGAGAGAATTGCAAAGATTAAATAGAGGTGAAACAGAAAAATAGGCTTTAATTTGTCCACTTCATTGTGAACTCCAAGACTTTTTTTTTTACCTTCCCCTTGCAAGTCTTTTATTTTCTCCAACTTTTCATAGTCTCCTGCAAACCAAGTGTTTCCTGTCTTTCCACATAAGTAATTATTGCTACTCTCTTCTGCTGTATTTTCAAGTAGTCTTTTGTTTTCCTTTGGCAAAGTGAGATTGCCAAAACCTCTGGGAACACAACTTCTTTGGCTTTGCCCTAAAACAGGATAAGCTCCTCCCCTAGAAGTAACTCACACCTCTGACCTACTGAGTCTTGAAGAAAATGTGAAGGTGTGGCTCACTCCAAATACTGGGTCCATTCTGCTGAGCATTACATGGACAAATATATTATTCATTTCCTTGTTGGTAAGCCCTGCCTCTCACCTTGGGGGAGAAATGGCAGGAAAGCACAGCCAAAGGCCATTCAAAGGGATAAGGAGGTTGAAACATTTCTCCTGTTTCCTCTAGACTCTCTCACAGCTTTTCTCTAAAAGCTTAATTAAAACCAGAATCTAGTTCAGCAAACAATTAAGTGCTTTCATCACAATATATGCCAGGGATGAATATTTCATAGAACAAAAGGCTTTGAGTATTTATTTACACCCTATTGTTCTTAAAGATTTGGGCACTTGCAGACCAAAACAATCCTGTAAACTCAATCTGTTTCCTGTTGGACTGAAGGTTAACTGTATGAACATTTTAATCACAGCAAGAAAATAGACACAAAATTAAGAGCCTGTAAAAAAATAGGCTTAAATTATTCTTTCATTGATATAATTGCTTTAAAATATGTATCATCAGGAGACTGAAGCATACTCTAGGTACCATCTTCAACATCTCTAACCAGCCAGACCAGATTCTTTATGGATAACTTTTCTTACCTGTACAGTAGAACTGCATTCCCCAGCCACCCTCAAAGAGCACTCAAGATACAGAGATAAAGTATGTACTTGGTACAATTACAATAAAGTAAAATACCTACCACAGCCCCAATGAAAAAAAGAGAAAGTAAAGGCATGCCACTGTGAAGCCTATGTTTTACATGTTTCTTTTTGAAAATCTTCCATTTCTAAGGTTGTACCTGTAGCCTTTACACAACATGAGCTGACATGAAAAAGCTTATACCCAAATCACTACTGCTGTGTTTACACAAGTCCAGAGATAACTTTAAATATTTAGAAGATCTGCTAAGGTATTACAGCTACAAAAAAAAAAAAAAAGGTTTTTTAAATTCTTTCTAAAGTCTTCCTAGATTATAAGGAAAAAAATCTCCATGCATGTTTTAATAAGTGCTCCAAAGTCTGTGATGAGTACATTAAGAAAACCAAGAAAGTTTGGAGTGATTTAATTCTGAGCTACAGTCACTGTACAACTACTGGAAAACATTACCCCTCTAGAATGGACTCAATCAGCATAACAGTAGCCCATCCTTCCATTCAAGTTGCAGGACAGGATACAGACTGATTTGGCACCTCTATTTTTATGTTCCTCTATTTTATATTCCTTTTGTGGGGGTGTTTGTGAGAAAACTTCATGTTTTAGCAATGGTTTATTACAATAATACTTATAAGCAGAACACTATGGTATTAGCCATGAAGAATTAGTTTACTGTCAGTTGGATAGTTAGGATTCTGTGTAAGTCCTTGGATAAAGCAACAGTAGAGGATTTTTGATCAACTCTTTGCAGGATTTTGCAAGTTGTAACTTGCATGAAAAGATGCTCATTTACAGAGCTCCACTAAGCCTACCTGATTACTCTGGGAGACATACAAGGGCTATAAAGCATCTTCCTGTGCATGCCAGCTACAAATAGATACTAGAGCAAGTGATGAGCTGAGCAATTTCAGCACAAGGATGAAAAAGGAACTAGGCCAGATCCAATCTGAAAAGTAAATCATTAACACAAGCACTTTTGGTGAATGCTTCATCCTATGACTCGCTGAGTTCTGATTCCTAAAATCAACACAGCAGAATAGAGGGTGTTGGGCTAATGACTCTGTTTACTTACATTATAATCACACTTATTCAATGCATGGTTAATGACTAATCACACAGTATATCCATAAAGCCCAAGGACACAAGGTACCAAGGTTCTGCTTCATTGTTACTTTGGAGCCTAATATACTTGGTGTCAGTTTGATTGGATGGCTTCTCACAAATCTCCAAAGCAGAACAAGATTTAACAACTGTATTTTCTCTTGCTTTAAGTCTAGGGAAGATACTACTCCATCTCAACAGAACTTGAAGACTCATAGCAAAATGTATTGTGGAGATTATGTGAGTATAATTATTTGTTCTCTAAATCTTCCAAACTTTTTCATTCCTCTTGAGTTGTTGTCACATGTTGGTATCCATTTTCCTTCACTGGTAGAAATTAATCTTAGGGGAAGATAATTTATCTGTGATTTGGGTCTAATGCTGGTGATATATATATGAAGTGTCAGAAACAAAAACTAAAATGAAGAATTATCAGTTCCCATCTTATAATTCCGACCTTTCAAGAAAAAGCAATGCAAGCCTTCTTGTGAGGTCATTTAGGTGGGTTTGCACCTAACTGCTAAACAAGAAGCTAAATTACATACTATCACCCAACTGTATTAAAGATACAGATGTGAATTTTTCAGAAGATAGCTATTTCTGGCACTGTTTGGGGGGTATAATTTGACAAGACCATCTATAGCCGCATAAAGTAACTAAATAACTTAATCACTTCTGAAAATTTGTTTTGTTCATAACATGAAAAATATTTTAAAGTAAAAAAGTACTACCTCTACAAGAGCCACAACACAGGAAGAGTTATCAGCAATTGTTCCCCATCAAAAAGCTGTACAATATATTAAATGGCCTCACTAGAGCTCTTTGAGGAAAAAAGGTTATAATGAAATTTTAAATCTCCATTCTGGAAACTGTTGAAGTTACTATTTCATGACAGCAAAATTTGAAATTTCTCTCTGTACCTAGCATACTGATAATCATGTTCTCTAAGGATTTTCTTTCAATTATTACTGACATGAAAAATTTGTTCCTTTCAAAGGCTTTTTACATGTACATTCCCAACAAACTTAGAAATCAATATGGAACTTTCTGAAGGATAAATATTTTTCCCTTTCTTATTTTAATATAAAGTATAATTGACTAATTATTCCAATCTTTCCAGTAAAGTATTTATTCTGATAAAATTATATACATAAAGCATATATTTGCTTTTCTAAAGTGATTGCTATTTAATCAGGATTAGTAATATGGTTGGTTTTCTGCAATTTGGGATCTTGCATCCTTGACTAGACAGTTAAGAACTTAAAAGAGAATTTCTTCTTAGTTTCTTTTTTTCCTCTTTTAGTTACAGTAATTTTGTAATCTCTTCCTGTTAATTTAAGAATAACAAAGAATACTACATCTTAAAAAGGTAGTAGATCAGATCCTGTTGGAGAAGAAATACAGTTTCTTTTCTTCTACTGATTTACTGCAACCAATTACATTTAAATAATTGACACTGCATCCGCATAGAATATGTTGTCTAAAACTAATGGCAGTACCTTCTAAAATAACTTACAGAAGAAATATTTTAAAGTCATTACAATTGGCAATTATTATATTTGCAATAACAATGCAGTATTTTGATAGCATCATAAAGAAAATCTAATAGATAAGAATTTTTAACTGCAGCAGATGTTTACAATGTTATGAAGCTTAATATAATGCAACTATTACATATTAGCCTAATGAACTACTTGAGAAGAGGGGATACAAGTTTCTAATTCTAATACACTGAATTATATCAAAATACCCAGAAAAAATGGTTTTAATATCAACTCTTTATTCCCTCTTCTTCTAAACGCAAAAAGGCACACTGATAAACCCTTTTTTTTATCATCACAGAAACAAAAGAGCAGAGAAGCAACTGTAGACAATGGGGAACATATCAGTCCCAGGAAAGTCAGAAAAACCCAACTCCAGGCTTTCTCTGAAAAGTATTGGGATGGGCTCCCAGGTTAGATAAATTTTTACTGTTTATTCCAATTTCCATGTGTTATGGAATGGAAAGAGAGAGAAATTAGGTATTTTCATGAGCTAGATCACTGGATCCTAGGAACAGACTTCCCTACTGAGGCATCCAGACAGAATGAGGACATGTAAGGCAGAGCTGCATGTAAACATTCTCCCCTGAATGCTGCTAGCATTTCAATAGCAATTTGGTCATGGAGCAGTGGCAGTTTTCTTTAAAGAGACTCAGCAACAAAATAGCAGAAAAATCACTCTAGCAAACCTCAATCAAGAAAACAGGGCTTCTACAGGACTGAGTGGTGAGACCAGAGCATTAATTTCTTCTCTACTCTTCCTAAACACTATCCTAGATTGCAAAAAAAGTCCTAGAAGTACACTTTGGACTTAGAGATATTTTTCAAGGAATTCCAGAATTTTGAATATACCATTAATTCAGAAGCATAAGAAAAATTTAGAAAAAAAATCAGAAGTATTACTTTCAAGATGTGCTTTGTTCTTTAAGATGATCTTTATATTTTATGCTATCATATCCATAATTATGTACATTATCTGTGAACCATCAGATAGGATGGAGATCAACAGTGAGATGTACAAACTATTAATAGCAGCAGTCCTGCCAGATTCAGCAATTCAAGACATCATCCTTATCAGAGATTACATACAAAAAACACCCTATAATAATTACCACAGGTAAAACTACCAGAAAGTAGACAAGATGATATCTATGACCTCTGAAATACATATACAGAGAGACAGAAGGCTTTGGAGAATGAATTTGCTATGCTTAGACGTATCCCTTCAACTACTGTATCATATATTATTGAAATTGAATGAAACATAGAATAAACTCAAAACAAACCAAAATACTAATGAAATGTTTATTAAATAAAGTTTCACTCAAATGATATCTTTGCAAAAGTATAGCTAGCTCATAGCATGTGGTTAGCTAATAAAGAAAACATTTTATTTTAGTAGACATCCCCTATGGGAAATATTCAAAGGAGTCTGACTTCAATTGCTTGTTATCAGCAGAATGACTTACTGAACAAATATTATTAGAAGGTTGTTCGTACTTCAGAATGCTTTTCCATCACAAGACTGAATTGCCTGAAGTTTGCACATCATAATTTGATAAAAGCAGCCTCACCTTTTACTGATATTTTTGTTGAACTGCTTATGACTTTGGTAAGAAAAAGCTGTTACTTGCTTGCTTTTGCACAGAAGGAAGGTGAACTGCAAGTATTATTTTCCAGAACCACTATAAATTCTTCAGACTGTTTCCAATCTTTTTCATTGTTCTGATTCATTCCACCAACACCACACAAACCTGTCTGATCAGCTTAATTTGGAATCACTTTCTTACAGGAGAGTTAAAAACATATGCAAAGCCAGAGATATGTATAGAGTGCCCACCTGGGCTACCTCTGTAGAGACAGATCTGCAGTTTTGAATGTGAGGGTATCCTGAGATTAGAGAGAGGAATAAATACCTGAATTAAAAAAAAAAAAAACACTGCATCACTTTTGGAGATTGACTTGCCTTATAAAGTGCTTTGACACTTTGTGAGGAAAAAAGCAAGATGTTTTTTATTTTTTCCTCCTGAAAAACAGAGATCCTCTTCACTAGGATGCTGCAGAGGAAAGACAGCATGAAAACCATTTTTCCATGTTCACATACAGCAGTTTGTCTAAACTAACTCACAAAAAGGCTAAATTGCTCTTGGGAATTACTTTCCTCTGATGCTTTTTTGAAGAGATTTTGTCATGCTGAATTCTAATCTTGCAATGAGAGCTCCAGCAAAATGATTAACATGTTGTGAGTATTCTAGAATCCAGATATCAAAATTAAATTGTACAATTCTTCACATCCTTTCAGTGACTGCCCCCATTTCCAGAACAGACATTTCCCCCATTTTCTTCAGAAAATTTGTCTTTATTTGTGTATATTCATCAATCAACCTGTTCCTAGCTGTAACTTTGAACTTTATAATGAATTTTAATCATATTGGTAGAGGAATGCAATCTCTTATGAAGTTTTGTGGAAACACTGTTCACACAGTGAACAGTGGGGGGTGAGGAAACTGAATTCTATTACCAATTAAAAAAATACAGCAGTTGAAACTCAATAGTCATTTATTCCATTGCCCTGGCATTAGCCAAATAATACATTCAGACTTTGGACTCAGTCATGTGACTGAGTCATATTTTATTTAGCCAGTGGTTGTCTCGGAAAGGACCCATGGCTTGTTCCTAGATGGAACAAGGTGAGGAAACAAACTGCAAGTACATAGTGAAACAGAGACAAAAGAACCAGGAAAAAAACCCCAGTTGTTTTTATCTGCAGTGTTCACAGAACGAGTCAACACCCAGAGCATAATGCAAGTTCCTTTATCACTCAATCCCACATTACTGAGACTAATGGTTGTTTGATAATGCTTACTTACTTTAAAATATTTTTTATTGGAGACATTCCTGTTAATTTCTTTATTAGAAAAAAATTATAGAATTATTAGATTGAATAGAGAGTTGGTAGGCCACCTACCCCAGTCTTTGCTCATTAAGGGTAGGAACCAAAAGCTCCCTGAAATCAATAAAAATACTTTCATTTATACTGTCTGTGAAATTAGGATAAAGCTCTCATAGTAAGAATATTAAAGAGGGCAAAAATGTCCCTGCTCTTCTCATCTTAAAAGAATATTTCTGTTACTTGGTCACAATTTGTTTTACTTGTGTGGATGGGTTGGAGAGCATTGTATTTAGAGAAATTATATTCAGTGAACATAAACTTCTTCTGAAAAGAAAACCACAATGCAATTTTCACTTCTGTAGATTTAACCTTGCCATGAAGAGCAATTTCTGCTCATCCCTGTAGTGAGCCATCTTAAGGCATGGAGAAATCATGAGATCATACTGGTAATTTTCCTATCCCTTCCAGAGCTTAGGGAAGCAGAAGATGTTGTAGAAGTACAACAGAAATGGCCATAGACTAAAAACTGGTCATCCTGATGTCAGAGTCCAGTACTCTCTCACTAGGTTCTTTCAGTATCTGTCAACCTCAGTTATTTTCATCTGTTTGTATTGGTCTGTGATTCTATTAAAGTTATTCACAAATTTCTTAGAAAGAATAAGAAAAAATACATGAAATAAACTATCACTGAGAATGAGCTGACAATAATTAAATCAGTTATAAAGCAACTAGAAAAATTGCATTGTCTTCTACATGTCAAGCTCAAAACTATCTCACTTGACAGTGAGGTAACACCACTGCTTTAATAAATCACCAGGTTTGTAAGCAACCTATGGATCTCATTCCTCATTTCCTCATTAGTCCTTTCAAATTAGAAATACCATGAGGAATAAATATTGAAGACTGTCATGGATACCACAGATTAATATTGAAATATAAAACTTTTTAAATGGGTTTGCGAAGGGATTTACATTTTAAGGTAAATCCTCACCTTTTTCTATTGAGGCCTTACTGATGCTAGGGGCAACTTCCTCCAATATGGTCTGTCTTCCTATAGTCACCTGCAAGTTTAAGTTCTGTTTCAGAAATCAAAAACCACACATGCTCCCCATGAAGCAAAGACAATTTAAAGTTATGATTATTGGTTTGCAGCAGAATTAGGTATATCATATTAAAAATGTTAAACACCTCAAAGTCTGCTTTTTCCTTTTGTAGACACAGGGAACAATTCTTCCTGCTCCAAATTTTAACCCTGTAATGGATGCCCAGTTGCTAGGAGGAGCCCTACAGGGAATTTGTGAGTATCTTGACTGATTCTAATGCAAACTTCCTCTTTTTCAGAAAGCTCTCATAAAGCATTAGGCAAAATATAAACTCAAAATTGTCACCGCTTATCTGCAGACTCTTCAAGGAGCCACAATAAGACACACTGATGATGTCCAAATAAATAGTTCACATTTACAGGAACTAAGAGTTGATCAAGATTAATCTAAAATCCATACCAACACTTAGACTAATGAACACTTAATTAAGAAAACAAGAAAAACAGAATTCTGCGTTGCATCACTAGAGTGAGGGCTAAGAAATGAAAGGATTTTAGTTGTAACTTCAACAACTAAGTGTTACCAAGGTTTGCTAAGTCTCTTATTCAGTCACAAGAAATAAAAACAGATGGAGTAGAAAGTTTAAAGAATTCATTACCTTGTCAGTTTTTGCTTTCAGTGTTAGTCGCAAAAAATCTTTTGTTCGCAAAAGGATTTTTCTCAGTTCTGATTTTTTTGTTTTTCTACTGAACTTTGTTGGTATTGCTGAGGGTCAAAATATTGATTTTTTTTTTTTTTAATCTTAAATGTCTTCTTCACTTTAAAGCTGTTCTCTGTATCAGCCTTTATACCCCTTGGGCTTTTCACAAGATTGTACAGCACCAAATCTCACATGCTGTTTTCAATTTCTTTAATGAAAATGTGAAGACTCAGATCTAATGTCAAGTGAACCACAATAAGCATTATTCATCAAGGGGAAGCTAAAGTATCTTTATGACCAAATTGGCTACAGATTAAAAGTTTTAAACATCTTCCTACACTTCAAAGAGTACTTCTAAGATAACATTGATAAAATATGAAATATTTTAATGCTGCTAATATATGAAAATATAAAGATTATATTCTTCATCTAATACTCTAAGTACAAGTACATCAACCTTAATTTTAACCTTCCTATCAAAGTACATGGAACAAAGTTGCAATTTTAAGGACAACTGAAAAAATAAATAGTTCATCTTCATAGAAGGTAAAGTCACCATATACTTTACAGGCACTGACATTGATCCTTAATCCTGCACATGGCATTCATTCTTATGAGGATGTTCAGTCACCCTCTGCTGATACTACACAAGTTGTATATTTATATTTTATAATTCCCTATATCTGGGCCATTCTCAGTTTTTTACTAGAGAGACCATGTAAGCTGTAAAGATTCCTAGTGATAACTATTTTCTGAAATGCAAAAAGAAATCATTATGTATGGTATCCCAACCCTTTGGATGCAAAAACAATTTTAAAACTCAAAAATACGTTTCTGGATATGCTAATAATATTTTTTAAGCAATAATACTGATTTTATTATACAAGTTTACTAGTAAGTTCTACCTATCAAGCAAATCATCATAGGTAACTGTCAATAAAATGCTCTTTTTTCAATGGAGCAAGATATTTTTAAAACTTTATACAGTTCCTCTGAAATTATAACTGAGTTTATCAACAAATGGTCCAACAAATTTATCATCCTCATAAAACAGATCCCTAATTCTTAAATGACAATTTAATCAATATCAACAGAACAGAACACAATATTCACAGAGAACAATTATTGATTTGCTCACCACTAGTCTAACTGGCTCCTCTTTTCAAAACAAAAATATAAAAAAATCAGTAAGTGCCTATGAAAACATATCACCTTTAAATTCATACCTCTTTCAGCCATATGAGTTAACATGAAGTGCTATAAAGGCAGTGGACACAGATCTAATGACTTCCAAGGCTCAGCCACAAATCCTGCTACCGGGCCTAGATTTGAATCCTTGAAAGCCTGTTTTATTGATGCTTTCAAACCCACTGAGCTGGTGAGAGGTGATGATGCATCTAGTAATAACAGACTGCTTCACCTTCTGATGGTATTACACCAGCAAGTGCAAGACACACAAGCACGGTAATATAACTGATGTTAGTAAATATTAGTGGGATATTAGTCTATTGATCAGTTTTTCTAAAAATTCGTATAATGTTCTTAAACAAAACCAGAACAATCACAAATGTAAGTAATTAACACCAGTTTGTTAATTTAGAGCCTGTGTCATTTCCTTTTCAGGTTGTGAAAAGGATGTGTTGATTGAAATCCTAACTCAGCGTTGCAACTCCCAGCGGCTCATGATTGCCGAGGCATACAGAGACATGTACGGCAGGGTACGACAGAAACACTTGGTGCTTTTATTACTTCTTTCTCTCCTGTGCAGCTGTCAGCCCTTCTCTCAGGTCACTCACTGGAACCACAAGCCTGTCAGACAGCTGGCTGGCACAACAGGTTGGCACACAACTTGCTCATTGGCTATTGATACCTCTGAGGGTATCACCTTGTCATTTCTACAACAGAAGTGTTGTCTGCCATGCAGTTAGAAAAGAGCAGGAGAAGTTCCTTTTCTTCTACAGGCCATTCTTCTCTATTGACAAAGCTAAAATATCTGAACAGACTTTCTTCCTTTATGTGCTTTTTTGGAATAAATAATAAAATAGTATTGAAACCAAAGAAAAACACCATATACAAGAGTTATAGGCTCTTTACCTTACTCACATAATGATTAATGTTCACACCTCAAGCACTGACAGTCTCACACCTCATTCCATATAGTCCCATGTGTACATTAAGCACAATAGTCATCTGACCTGCTTTAAAGGCATGATCTTTGAAAACTGTTTAAAATTTTTTAAGACAAAAAGTTATCTTTAAAAACTGTATTTTACCTATATTTACTGTATATAGCAATGGAATTTTTGCTATCTGAGTTCTTAAACTTACATAGAGATATATATCCTCATTCTATTTCCAGATCTATTGTTGCTAACCAAATAACTTTGGGTAAGTTGCAGTGCCTGCATTTTCCTTAGTTGCTACAGCTATACAAGGACAAAAATAATAGTAACATCCCTTGCAAAGTTCTTGTGAAAGTCATGAAAAGTACAATGTAAAACTAGATACTATTTGATTAAGTTGACTAGACATGCCCTTCCCCTGAAAGAAAGCAGACAAACACTTAGAAGAAAATCCATTTTCTTCATTTCCTGAAGCCTGTAAAACCAAGGGTTCACTGGAAAATTCCTTGCAGGCCAGTGTCTGCTTGTCATTGAATCAATCAGCATGAGTGAGAACAATGAGTTTGCACAAATGCTACCACAGAGCCATTTCCCTTAATTAGGGTTAACTAGAAATGGTTCATTCAAAAACTCCACATTTTGTGGTGCTTTTACACCTCCAATTCATTAACCAGCAGAATACATTTGGGTGGTCAAGTTTTCTAGAGACAACCTTTGTACCAACTCTACACTAAAAAAACCTCAAAACCACTGACCCTTGAATAAGCTCAAACACCCATTTACTGTCCTAGAACTGGAGGAAAAAGAGCTGGGTTTAATCAGTGTAGTGGGTTGATTTTGTATTGTTACTCATCTCCAGGAGATCAGTGACTTTATTTGGACTGTTAAAAGAAATGAAACACACAATAATTGTGATGTTTTAGACATAGTCTTGAATGAATAAGTATATTTTATAGAGACCATAAAAGAACAATAACTGACAATCACAGCTATGCACCTTCCAGAGACCATGACAATGATAGAAATCAGCACCTAAATTATTAAACCTGTTTTTTCTATTATGAGATATTTATTAGGTTACCATCACACATGCAAACCATACCAGTTCAGTGTTAAGTCATGCAATATTCCTAGGTTCTAATGTTACTTACAGCAAACTAAAGTATGCCAAGCTACCCAAAGGTGCCTGTGACATGAAGCACCCAAGCCCATTCTTCCCAAGTGTTCATTTATCTCCACCACTGGACAGTCCTTCTCTACTCCATCCATAGCAGCTGGCTGGTTTCTTTTAACCTTTTCTCTACAGTGTTTCAACAGGACCTATCACTTTAACAAGGGAAAATATTTAAAAGCTTTCTATCATGTTTTTATCTTTAATTTCTATTCTCTGGTACACGATGATCTAGAAATAATACTGTACCACAATAAAGACTTGGAAATGTCCTTCAGGAACACAGTTATTTCATATTCACAGAGAACAATTATTGATTTGCTCACCACTAGTCTAACTGGCTCCTCTTTTCAAAACAAAAATATAAAAAAAATCAGTAAGTGCCTATGAAAACATATCACCTTTGAATTCATACCTCTTTCAGCCATATGAGTTAACATGAAGTGCTATAAAGGCAGTGGACACAGATCTAATGACCTAGAAGAAAGAAAAAAAGCCAAAGATGTCAGATGTCCTTTTTAAGAATCAGTGTCTAAACCTATGAATAATAATAGAAGGGATAGGCAAGAAAACAGTTTTCATATTCTAGCAATGGGCTACAGAATACTCTAAAAAACATGGAACCTACTCCAATACACCCATAATTTTAATTCAAATGAATTCATTAGGCACTGGGTACACTTCACAGTGCAAGATTCATCATGATACCCTTGACAGTTCCTTAAAAAACCCTACCAAGAATGTGATGTATCTTACATCGAGTTGGGCCAGTTTGCGCTTTGAAAGAATTTAGCGCACATCGCACTTCCCTGGCTGCAATTTGTCCCACTGGTCACATTGCATTGAACAAGTGCACCATTAGGCAAGCCCAGTTTATGAGTGGTAAACATCACAGGACAGAGAAGAGATGTGGCATGGCAACAGTAGTTTTAACCTTCTCAGTTCAATTTATGGTAAACCTGTTGGTCCCATCCTTCCCCTCTTTATTTCACTTCAATCTGCTCAATATGGCAGCCACCATGCCCATTCATTAGACAAATGTAAACAGACACATAAGGAGAGAAATATTAAAATTAAAAAGACCTGAACTAGCGGCATGATTCAGACATACAGAGAAGTTTTAAGATTCCTTCTTACAATTAGGCTCCAAGGATTTCTTGTAGCAAAGATGATTAGGAAATTAAAATAGTGACAACTTAGAGCTGTCTTTTATTTTTTCCAATACTTCCCTTAGTTCTGATTTCCGGAGTAATTTTTAAGTAGTATCCATTTGTATTATTAATTCATTTTCCCACAGGCATGTTGTCAAAAGTAAAATGTCTTAATGAATTAATTTCTACTCCATGCATGATTTAGTTGCTGTCAAATGAATCTAAAGTGCATTCACCAAAGACTGTGTATGTTTCTTCATCATAAATTTAATTTTTAAAATGCATATGTCTTCCTTCATTGCTACTCTAGCTATTAAATTAATTATATTCAGAAATATATTAAAATCAAAGTACAGGCCTGAAAAAAAAATACAGCTCTGGAAATATACTAGTTTATATAATGGGAACTGTTTCTGGCATGCCTTTCAATTCAGACAGACTAGAACATCTTACAGGTGTCTAGTGCTGCACACACATTAAAAAAGACCGCACAAGTGTCCTCAATCCAAACCAGTAACTAGTTGTAAGTTAACAAGCTTTTGGCATTTGCAGTGTTTTGAGGGATGCTACAAGGAATGGGGAGGACAAGGAGGAAACTCTACTCCATTACTTAGCTATCTGGCAAGAAAGAACTGAGAAATATGAGGAGGAGGAAAAAGGGGGTCCCATGTTATTAATCCAGTATCTACCAAAAGTAGTGAACTAATTTGGAATGTAAAATATAACTGAATTGAAGTACATAACCTTCCAGCTATCCAAAGCTGATATTTTCATGTACTAGGAGCAATACAGATGATTTTTTCTTAAATTATTCACACGGTAACATTACAAAAAAAATCAAAAGAAACCACCTGTGTTTTATGAGCTTGATCTTCCAAAGGTGCTTACACCTCTCAGATTCACACAGGGAATAAATTAAGGGAAGCTGCAGAGGCTCTGATATGATATTCAGTTTTCTAAGACTTGAAGTAATAATTGCACTTAAACATCTACATTTTCTTCTCTGTTCTAAGAACTGAAAGCAACAATCCATTGTGGCCTACTGGCTTGTGCACCTATTCTCATCTTGCTCATACTAGTAAAATAAGCATGTACTACTTGAACAACTTTTTTTATTTTACTTAATCTTTGCCAAAATTAATCTTTACCAGTTCATCCTAAATCATTTAGGGAGAAAACCATAATAGTTTTTTAAGCTGTCTTAGTAAAGTGTGACTATAGAGATAATCCTGTGTGCGCACTTTCTTTTTCTTTTCAAGGATTTGATAACAGACCTAAAAGAGAATCTCTCTCATCACTTTAAAGACGTTATGGTTGGCTTGATGTATCCACCTGCATCCTATGATGCCCATGAGCTTTGGCATGCCTTGAAGGTAATCTTTATATTCAGAATTGCTTAGAGTAGCAGTCATTAATTAGAGTTCTGAACACATATGTTTTTTTTTTTTTACATTTCATTGGTTGATAAACTACTGAAAGTTAGTACACTGGAGTAGTATACTACCACTTAGTCCACTAGTCAACAGAAATGCAGTGCTATTTCAAGTTTATCCATCAGTGTGCTAAAACCAGCATAAATAATATCTTTGTCACAGAACATACAAAGCCCATTTAACACCCATGGTAAACTCAGAAAATGAATAAAGATTTACACAGGGAACCATAAGGTGCTGGGTTTTGCAAGCATTTATATATGCTACAAACCAAATTTATTTCCACAGCCAGTGCCATGCACTCAAGCACCACCTCTCTGACAACCAATACTTCTTTAGCAGAATATGTCTCTGTAGAAACACTTACAAATTACTCTGTACAAAGTGTCAGAGCATACTGCACAGTCAAGAGGGCCACGATACACAGAGTATCACCATACAAGTTCAGAAGGCTTTAAGCATTCACCCAGAGTAACACCATACCTCATCTGAGGGCTTCAGGCACCTGCCCATACACAGTAACACCATTCCACTTCAGAAGGCTGCAAGTATGTGCCCTGTTTTTTAGCCCAACCTTTTATACCCTCAAGTTCATGCACTGCACCTGTGTGCCCTCTGCTCCCTTTGGTGGTTGGTCAGTGCCCCTGGGCACTCCATGGCTCATTGCTGTCAATGCTGCTCACCTGCTGCTCACAGCTGCAGCCCACTGGGGATGAGGCTCAGCCACAGCCCCACTCCCAATGACCACAAACTGTGAGCAGTTCTGTTTCAGCAGTATAGTAACTCCACTGAAACAGAACTGATTTCCCATTTTGAAGGAAACATTTCCTTTTCTTCCGTGGATCTGAGACTGCAATCCTCACACAACTGAAGTTTCTGAAAAAAAAAACATTTTTTCAAACATTAAGTTATTTAATGGTGAAATTCATTCCTACAGGGCATTGTGAAGACCAAAAACAATACTTACTTCATAGAGGACTTTAATATATTCTTTGAAACCAGGTTGATTGCTGGCTATTGAAAATAATAATTCCTCTAAGGAAATTCCTGAATTACCAATTCCTAAAAGACAGGAAGGCATATCAGAGTTCAACACTGTTTTCCTTTTCTTTCTATGGATGTTTGCTACTGTCTGCTGTCACAAGCAAGACAGAGATTACAAGACTTTGGGACTTTGGGCAAGATGACTTACCTTGCCAATTTTGAGTACTCTCTTTTGACCTGGATTCATATGGCCAAGGTAAAAAAAAACAGCCCATGTGTATCTATGGGCTCTAATGCTCTTCCTTTATCCCAAATGCAAAATATTCATTAACATTATCCATGTGTATGTCAAAAGCAGCATATGCACCACATCTTATGTCAATTGAAGTTTATAAAATTAATTCAAACTCTGTGGGAAAATACAGTGATTTGCAGCACTGCATGTACTCCATGATGCTTTCCTTTAATACCAAGTTCCATGCTAGATATTGCAGACTATAGCATTCCTAAATAAACTCTTAAAAAAAAAAAAAAAAAAGATGATAAGAAGAGAGAAGACCAACATAATAACTATGCTCATGTCTACTTCAGATTTCCTAACACTTGCTAGGGATGTATGCTCAATCTTTGCATCTGATTTCTTTCAGCAAACAACAATTCTTACTAAAATTCTAAAATTATTCCCATTATGTTTCTGTCAACACTAGTGTTGCTTCATTTCCCACTTGCTAAGGTACATGCTGAAATTCAGATTTAGAAATATATTTGAAATATTTTAAAGTAATTTGAACAGGTAGGTTATGCAAAAGTACTACAGAAACTGCTATTATTTTGTTATTACTAATAAGGACATCACTGCTTTCTCCTAAAAATTGGGGTTTCTACTACACATCATCTTTTCATATTTACTTCTTTCCATACAGGGAGTAGACACAGAAGAAAAATGTCTAATTGACATATTAGCCTCAAGATCAAATATGGAGATCTTCCAGATGAAAGAAGCCTACCTAATGCGTAAGCTTTTTTACCAAGTGCAGAGTAGCAGTTGTACTGTGTGTGTTCTGGAGGTATTAGCACACACAAAGGAACAGAACTACAAAAATACAGTACAGACCAGTACAGCCTGGTTCCCTCTCCACATCCTCTCCCACACCTCCATACAAAAGGCTGAGGCAATGTGGGGGGTGGGCAGGCCAGTGGGGACAGCGGCTGAGGGCCCCCAGCAGGGCCAGATGGATGTGCCAGCCCCACAGCCAAGTCCTTGTAGAACCTGCCCAGGCTACACTGGAATAGAGTAAGCCTATTTATCCTTTATTTGATAATCTTCATTTGTACTATTCAGAGCATGTTCATTTGTGATTAAGATTATATGGTTTTGGTTTAACCTAGAATATAATTCTGATCTTCAACAAGATATCGATTCTGACACTTCGGGTCACTTCAGAGATACACTCATGAACCTTGCTCAGGTACTGTAAAAAGAAGAACTGAGACTTTCATTTCTAAAAGATTCATAATTACTTTCAATAATATTTGATAAGTTTTACATTTTAAGGTGACTGTGATTAAAGCTAGTTCAATAGGGCTGCACTTTTAAACAAGAAACAGGAGGGAAGATGATGAAGAGAAACTGAATTCCTTCATGTACTCTGACTTAGACTTTGGATATCAGATGGAAGCAAAGGTAAACAGATTATTTTATAAATTCCTATTGGTATTCACCTGCCGACACTTTGCTCCATCTGTCTCATCTCAAAATGTGTCTACTTGAATGTACAAATGTGATTGTCATTTTTAAAAGCATATGTTTTCTCCATTATCAGAAAACATCATAAACCAGTCAAACATTATGTGAAAATAGAGATATATTCACATTTGACTAAGAAATAAAGAATTAAAGAGTTCACTGCTTAAAATATAGTGCTCTTTATGCTATTGCATGTGGTAAATCACAAAATGCTAGCACAGAAGAAAAGGAAGTATCACTTTTACATACCAACTTATGCAGTTTTACCAGTCCATAGTTTATACAAGAGAGTGGTCATCCTTGTCATTCTCATTGCAGTCACTGTGCTCATTATCTTTAAAATTTTTTGTAAACCAGAGTAACAAATAATAAAGGACTGCCATGGGATAACAGCATACATAAGGTGTATCTGTACTTTTAAATACGTGCATGTCTGGGGAAAAACTGCTTACACAAATTTGAAATAACAATAGGCTTCACTGAAGTTAAAAAGACAGAAGTTTCAAAAGTAGAAGCTATAAACAGGAAATATTTTTTGCTCATGCTGGATGTTTTTCCCCTAATAATGAAAACTTTTCCTTGCTTAAAAATGAAGAGCAACCTTACTTAAGCAACCTCACTTCTCATAATTATTAAAACCATGGGACATATTTACCTGTCAAATGAACCAAATTTAAAAGAATCTCTGATTATACATTACTACTCCTAATTTTCTTAAACTCTAGGTATTGATAAAGAAGCCTAAAATCAGAAATTTCGTGTCTAACAAAATCTGCAATTTCACTCAAGATAAGAAGAGTTGTAGGAAATTTCAACTTGACTCAGTTATGAAGATTGTTAGTCAAATCACTCATGCTTGCATACCATCTTATATTAGTACTCGGTGATATTCCATTAAAACCCTTTCTAATTCTATAACCATGGAACATTTCCAGTGCATCCTTTAATGCTTTTTTGCAGAAAACCTCTGCTTTGATTTCTATTAAATCAAACTACTGAGACAAGTAAACATGCTCCACATATGCAGAGCTAACTATTCAATTGCTATAGTATTGTATTTATGGTTTTCATGTCCAGCCCGAGGCAGATTAGATTATATTAACCATATAGGTTATGGTCCTTTCTACAAAATTAACAGAGATAAGAGTTTCAAATTCAGGCTAACTAATATTCTAGTCTAAAACAAACAGATTTTATTCTAATTCTCTTTTTTTGGGTATTAACTAAAATATGATAATTTTCTACAATTTAAAACATAATTATGCAAATGTTACTGGAGAAATTGGGCATTTGACTCATGTAGAGTATTATTACAGTTATCTTATTGTATACTGCCCTGTCTTTATTCCCTTGTTTTCTTGTGTATGTAATTTTATGCAGCCATTTCATCAAATTCACTTCAGATAATTTATCCTACTACTAGAAATTTCACTAACTGAAATTCTCACAATTTAATTAACATGTAAATTAACATTTTTAACAAAAAAGAACTATAAATAAATCATTCTACAAGCTGACAGCCAATACCTAATTTTAATCCTTCCTTTCATACATAAGATAACACGACTGCAAATTTTAAACAAGATTGCTTCAAGAACATGTTATTAAGGCAGAAAATACATGAGCTCCAGATTTTTCTGAGTTCTGCAGACAAGACTGATTTCTATCTTTACAAGATGACTATGGTTATAAAAGCAATTCCACAAGTAGCATGTTCTTCTCTTTTTCTGACTCTATAATTCAGAACATAGTGTGTTTACTAAAGAATTTAGCTTGGTTTGTGTAACTGAAAAGCTAGTGAATGTATGGGAATTTTAGAAATATTCTTTTGGGGTTTATGTATCAAAGTTGTCAAACCATTTCCTAGCTCTGGATCTTAATTTTAGACAATTATGAGCAAGCAAAATCTCTATTATTTTATGAGCTTGATCTATGGTTTGTGCAGGAAGAAAAATACATTGAGAAAAGATTTTTCTGGTAATATGAATATTGATAAGAACCAATCAGTATGGCAAATGTTACTCCTATCCTTATTTTCCCCTCAGAGTTGCATATTAGAGTAAACAATATAACATCCATAATTCTGAAAATGGTGGTGGGATTGTGGTGGTCAGGTAAAAGATTTAAAATAGGACTAAAAATGGGATAGGTTTATCTACTTCCCCCACTTTTTCATCTCACAAGACTGTTTTTTATTCCAGAATTCCTCTCATTAAAGAAAATTAAGACATAATGTGACAACTTGAAGATATTATCCACATTTGCAAATTCAACCATGCAAAACACTGATCCAGCCTAAAGGCCTATATATGTTACCTCAAGAAATTCAACACAGCTTCATACACAGGGAACTTTATATTCCTACAGTGGTTTAGGAATTAACTTTTGAAGAATACGTATCTCTTTTTTCCCTCAGGGAACAAGGATGGAAGGATATGCAGACCCTTCTACAGCTGTTCAGGATGCAATGGTAAATATGCTCAGATGTTCTCAAACATTAAAAAAAAAACAGAAAAGAAATGTTGAAAAGTGATTAAGGATTTAGTTTAAATATTTTGCTTTTTTTGTTTTTCCATTTTTCTGATTTTTTAGATTCTGTGGGAAGCATGCCAGCAGAAGACAGGCGAACACAAAAACATGCTGCAAATGATTCTCTGCAACAGGAGTCAGCAGCAATTGTGGATGGGTAATCCAGCAGTTCAGCTGTTTGAATACAGAGTGTAAAGGGAAAATGTGACTTGCTAAGAAAGCCATGCTTTGCATACCAAGACAGTCAGTGTGCAGCAGGACATTAGCCTGAAACCAAGTGTGAGCTGTTGCAGCTCTCAGACTTGCACTGATGTGAATGGGAATTTGGAAGTAATGCAAAACTGAACTTTGCCTGATGACTACTGACAGCTGTAGACAGAACAGGCAGGCATCAGGATGCCTAAAAACCCAGAGAAGAATGCATGACCAAAGAAAGGCAAATGTTACAGCTGCACTGAGTCTATACATGATAAAATAGGATGAGGGAGATTTTTCTTAACTATTTTATCAATTTTTCTTAAGCAACTCTTATGAGGAAAAACACTTAGGGAGAGCTGGAAAACATTTCAACAAATGTTTGCATATGAAAACTAGAATGTGTGGAAACTTTTCCCCAGAAGTTTCATAGAAATTTTTGATGGGAGCACTTCAGTGTTCACATCTGCTCTCCGGTAATGAACATAAACACATAACACAAGGGCCATTTTTATTAATAGGAAATCAGACATAGCTACAGATTGCAGGAAATTTATGTGAGCTTATCCAAATCTTCCATTGTAGAAAATAAACCCATTCACCTGGTGGCAAGTTTGAGTTTCTGCTCTGCAGTAGAAAAACAGTCTGTCTGCTGACAAGTTTATCACTGTGCAGCCAGCTGTATTTCTTACGTCAGCTTCCCACACTAGCTTAGGACTACTTTGCTATCACAGATCAACAAATTCATTCAGCTGATGATGACAGGATTAACACACCTGCTCTATGTTCTGCTCTCTTCCTGAGATCTGAGGGCCCTGCCTATACTGCAGTGCTCCATAAGTTCTATAGTCAGCAGAAAAAGAATTTTCCTCCTTCCATAATGGAGAAAGCACAGCCTGGATATTTGTGTGTGTGCATATCTGCAGCGAGCGTGCGTGTCACGCGGCTCCTGGCTCCTTGCCACCATCCACGAGCCTTGCCAGCTTTAGCCAAGCCAAGCAAGGAAGTGTCTTACTAGCAGGATGTTCTTACCAGTGTCATAAACAGATGTTGCTAGATATGTGGCATGCACTCATTTTATACTCTAGGCTGAAGAATCCAAGGGGGAATGCCCTAGAAGCCAAGTTTCAAGCTACTCATTTAGGTTGCCTGACCTGGGCAATATAAACATAATGAAACACTGAGAATAATAAAGGTAAAAAATAAACTCAATAGTTATAGTACTGGGGAGAAGCAAGGAAAAAAAACCCATAAAAAGCAAGTTGATCATTATTAATGAGCTAGAATAAAACAAGATCTTTTTTCCACCCCTCCCCCCAAGTTTTCCAGGAGTTCCAAAATATCTCTGGGCAAGACATAGTAGATGCCATTAATGAATGTTACGATGGATACTTTCAAGAACTACTGGTTGCAATAGGTAATGTAAAGGTATTATTTTTACTAACAGCAATCTCTTAATAAATTCTAGTATATTATCTCTTGTGCATTAAGAATATTATTTTTCTGATATTTTATCCACTTTAATCTCCTATATTATGCAATTAAATTTTCAGAGAAAATTAGGAAAGAATATTTTAACTACTTTCCCCTGTTAGTGTAAATCTAAAAATGTATCTATGGAGCACTAGCTTCTGACTGAGCAGAACTAGTATCTACTTTATTTGATAATAAATTCTGTGTGATAACTGCATTTGCAACTGATTGTACATATATTAAATAACCAGCTATGTTTTCAGGACTTTGGTGGTATATAAATTAGTTTCAAGCTTTATGTACATTTATCTTTCATTTATAGAGTAAGGATAGAAATATTCCTACAAATAGAACATGTGAGTATATTCACTGATATTTAATAGGCCCTTTGAAGCAACAGCAATGAGGACCCACCACCAGACTTTCAAAATTATAAATATGGTTGTACTAGTGAATATTGGTAGCTTAATTTTAACCTGAGGCATGGACAGCACTACCCAGATTTTTATTTCAAGGAGCCCAAAGCCTAAAGAAAGTATATTATAATAATCTTCTGTTTACCTGTTGCAATTCTTCCTTCCTAGTTCTCTGCATTCGTGACAAGCCTTCCTACTTTGCTTACAGGCTTTATAATGCAATTCATGTAAGTAGTCATTCTACTTCACATTTCCTAAACATAAGATTCCCTTTTTTTGTTGTTTTTGTTTCTTTGATTGATTATTCTAAAACCAGTACTTACAAATAAGTCTCTTCAATCTTTAAGGTGTGACTGTGTGTTTTAAAACTGTACCTACATAAATTTCAAAGCAGTAGTGCCTAAGCAACTAAGCAGCAGAAGTGCCTTAGCAGTAGAAGTACAAGTTTAAGTTCTCAGACACCTTAAAAATGATCTATCTGGTAACTGTTGATTTTTTTTTAATTGAAGACTTTTTTTCTTTGCATGGAAACTCCCCCTGCTGTGCAGAACTCAATGTGCATTATTCTTACTATATAATTTTTTGTCTGTAGAGATTGAATAAGTATGGCTAAAACTTAATGTTACATGAAGACAAATGCTTATATTTCTTTGTAGGACTTCATGCAGATTATTTTTTGTGTAAGTGCTAACTTCTTTTGACGTTTTATTGCCACTAGATGTCCCCATTCCTCACAGAATTATATTATGAAAATTTATTTAGAAACAGTTAAAATAAAGCACATCTGAACAAAACCTATGTAAATTCTAAAGCTATGGTTAAAAATCTCGCAGAATTCACATGAGGCAGCAGTTTTTGTGAAATTGATTACTGGCCTCATTATAGTTTGAGTGGACTCTACAACAACAGTGAACTGCTACTCAAAAACTGAATTCCTAGGAATACTGACAAAAGTTTGTCGTATTTTCCTTTTTTAAAAGTTTCAGTGCTTGGATAAACCACTGGCATAGAGGGCCCCCTTGTTACTCAGTTACATGAATTCTATTATTTGAGTACATGAAAACTCAGTAGAATAAAACCCTTAGACTCTTTTAACATCTAGGATATCTTTATGGGTATTTTCTTCTCTCATTTTCTTTTTTCATTTTAGGATTTTGGTTTTCACAATAAAACAGTTATTAGGATTCTCATTGCCAGGAGTGAGATAGACTTGATGAACATACGCCAGCGATACAAAGAGAGATATGGGAAATCACTCTTCCATGACATTAAAGTAGGTTTTTACCAACTTCTGCATATATTCAGCACTGGTATCACACTGTAGCATTCTGTTTAACCATTTGGTTTAAAACAAAACAAACAAAAAAGCAAGGTGTAAAAACAATAACACATTTCCAGTGCCTCAGTTTGATTTGAGTAAGTGTGAAATTAATTCTCAACTCACTCTCTGTGATTTTATCCCTCTCCAATGCAAGATGTTTATAAACAGGGCATGGCAGTGTGTGCTGAGCAAGAGTTTGTATGAATGGTTTCCACACTAATTGAGAACATCTTATCTCATGTTGATCTGTAAGGTTAGGCTGGTACCACTTTTGTACAAAACTGAAGTAAATATCTGGTTTTATCCTTGTGCTTAGGTAGTACCTTCACAAACCCTGTTCCTCTTGTACTCCTGGTCTGCATCTTAAAAAAAAAACTTTGAATGTGTTTAATTGTACAAAAAATGTCTCTTGCTAAGACACTACATTTTTATGTCACTATAATCCAACTGCAAGATGTGCAGTAACTTTATGAAATTGGTCATGAATTTTGGTATTGAACTTGAGAATTAATAAACAAATTTGATCAGCCTTTCAAAGATAGATGGTTTCTATGTGCCCAAGCAACCAAAGGCCATGGCAAGTGAAATTTAAAAAAATCTCAGCCTAGATTTCTTATGAAAACAATGTAATGTTTTACAAAATCTCATAATAGTCTAGTTCTTGTCACACAGCAAAAAAAGAAAAATTCAGAAAATGTATAGTCACCGAAATATTGTTTTTTTTTTTCTTTGCAGCATTTTGCTTCAGGGCATTACAAGAGTGCTTTACTTGCTATCTGTGCTGGTGATACAGAAGATTATTAAGAAGATGCTCTCAGAAGGCTGTACAAACCTATTTTAAATAGAAATTGAAGCTATATGCAATGCACTAACTGTAAGAGATCCCTATTTCATATAACAGAACAGCAAAATTAGTAATGTACATTTGCTAATATTAAATCTTTCTTGAGACAGGAAAAAATGTTGGCAGGAACATGGTTTTATCCCTAGTTCTAATTAATATTTCTGATTTTATGATTAATGTAAATTAATGCAACAAGTGGTAAAATGACTCAGTGCAGGCATTTGTTTATCATTTAGTGTCACAACATCCCAAACATTCATCAACAGGCTCTGGAAGAATTTATTCACTTCCACACTAGAGAGAAGAAAATATTTTGCTTTATTTACTTTTAGCAAGATGATTTCTTTCTTTAAGGATTTTTTTTCTTTTCTTTCCTACTTCTTAATGCCTCACATTTTCTGCTCTTTAACATTATTGTTTTAGTTACAACCACACTAAGCATCTGCCCCCATCTATTATCAGTCACTTATCAGAGTGCTTTTGTATTCTCTTTTACTTTGCTCACGTACTTAATGACCTTTCCCTTATTCTGCTTGAAACAAAAGTAAAAATTAGAATCAAGTACTCCATCCATTCCAGTGCCATGAACTGGGAAACCTGGAAGACGAAGCGCTACTTAACTTCAAGCAGGAAAGTTCCAGAGGATTATAATCTCTATTCCATTTTTACCCATCTCATTTTAACCATTCATTGAATATTGACCTTCAGAGCATGGAGGTATATCCAGGATGCCCTAGGCGGCACAAATCAAGAATTGACTTATCGTGGGTAACTTTGCACCTCCTAGAGAGGCCGAAGGATGCGGCGTTCTCTGGAGCACCCGCGAACAATCTGACACAGCAACGAAGGGAAGGAAGGTGGCAGAGCCCGGCCTCGAGTCCTCGCCCCACGGAAAAACGTGACACTGCTTTAAATTCCCCGGGGCTGTTCAGGGCATCCTATCCTGGGCCTCCGTACCTCCTGCCAGCCTCTTAATCAGGAGTGAGGGGAAGTACCACACTTTTTAGTGCTCACTAAAATATCTGCCCGTGGCTATTCCTCCGCCGCCACAAGGTGTCCAACTGGACACAGACCCTGTGGATGTTCTTACAGAGGTACTTTCTGCAGGTGCAGCCCGTGTGACTGAATAAAGCACTGCTACAGAAAGGCACAGATGCCTGGTTGCTTTTGTGCCCTTTGCGCCTGTCGCTTCCTTCAGCCTCTGGACATAACACTAATTACAGCGCGTCTGCCTTCATTGCAAATACTGACATCGTGTTGCTAACATGTTGATTTATAATAAACTTAAAATTTCTTTCGAATCTCTCTTGAGTTTGACTCATTTTTCCAAACACTTCGGCCGGATAATAAATTTGTTAGGTTAGAACTTTGGGACGAACGTGGCTGGGAGTACAACAAAAAAAAAGGGGGCGGGGGAAGGAAACTGAGCTGAGCTCTGCGCCAGTTGCTCAGCACTAACATCATTCTAAACCGAAGTTATGTTCTGACTTTGCAACCTGTAGCTGGAGGTAGCTCCCAACAGCCGTACCTCGGCACCGCGGAGTCACTTGGTTTCAACTCTGCAGGTTTGCAGAAAAGAACAAGGACTCCTCCCGGCACTGCAAACGCCCTGAGCTCCCAGCGCTTCCCGAGCTCCCGTTCCTGCACGTGAGGAGGGAGCTCCGCCCACAGCCCGTCACAAAAATGGCGGAGGCGGCGCTAGGACCGCGCGGGCGCCACGGCGCGCCGGGTAGGAGGCGGGTCCCAAAAACTTCTGTCCCGCCCCCTTGGCCTCGCCTGCTTTTATTGGACAAAGGCGATGTCAATCTCGGACCTCCGCCTATCGCCAACGCTCATCTTCTGGTCCCGCCCCCCGCAGCCGGGCGCCACTTCTTGGGACGTTGACGGCTGGAAGCGGCTTTTGGAGCCTGGCGCTCCTGAGTTCTTTGGCAGCCCGGCCGGCAGCCCCCCCGGTGCCGTCGACCTGGAAGTGGAGGGGCACTTGTACGAGCGGAGCCCGAAGCAGCAGGAGCGGCGGCCGCTCGACCCCTCGCCGCCGCCGATGGAGGCGAGCCTGACTTGCGCTGTGTGCCTGTCGCTGTTGGAGGAGCCGGTGACGCTGCCGCTGTGCTCGCACAACTTCTGCCGGGGCTGCGTGCTGGAGTGCCTGGCCTCGGCCGAGGCCGCCCGCCTGCAGCAGCTGCAGCGGAACCCGGGCCGGGCCCGTCTCGGCCGCGGGGCGCCGGGGCCGGGCCCGGGCCCGTCCTGCGCCCGGGTGCCTTGTCCTCTGTGCAGGAAGCTGTGTCTGCTGCCCCGCGGCGGCGTGGCCGCCCTGCCCGTCAACACCACCCTGGCCGAGGTGGTCAAGCTCTACCGGTCCGGCGCGGCCGGCGCCGCCACGGCCGGGGAGGCGGCGCTGGGGTCGAAGCCGGGATCTGACCCGCTCTCCCCGCAGGCGTTCGGGGGAAGCTGCCAGAAACATCCGAGCCGGCCGGTGCAGCTCTACTGCCGCATGTGCCGGCAGGCGGGGTGCGGGCAGTGCGTCTCCGAGGAGCACCAGGGCATCTTCCACTCTGTCAACCTCATAGACACGGTGTACCAGGAAGAAAAAGTAAGCGCGGCGCTTCTCCTCCGCTCTGGGGCCTGGCTGGGAGGTTGGGCTGTCCCCCACCGGGCGCGGGTTGTTTTTACTCAGAAACACGGGAAAAGCCGGGCGTGCTGGGCAGGAGAGGGGCTTGTGCTGCTTTGGGGCAGTAAGGAGTTGTTGGTGACCCGCCGGGTTGTGCCTTTCCCGGCTGCCGTCAGACGGCATCCAACGCACGCAGGGAACCAGGCAGTATTACAGGAGCAACAGATCTGAACCCAATTTACCAAAGGACCTGCAGAGTTATTTTGGAGTGATGTCGGAGTTTTTTTTGATTCGGGGGGGAGGAGTGTTGATGTTTGGGTCGGTTATTGTTTTTCCGAGTGCAGGAAGATCCAACAACTCCAAAAAAACACCCACAGGTGTTTTGTTTATAGGCTCTCTAGCTGTGATAGGTAATTTGGGTCACAGATAATTGCATATTTAGGGATAGATAGTTTGGGTGAGTAATAATAAATGTATAAGCAAGATGCTTTACAGTTTGCATAAGAAGGGAGCTGCCTGCCATAATGGTTGGTTGCCTGGTTGTAGAAGTTGTGATTTTTAACAAAATAGGGACTGTTTAGGTAGAATGAGCTTTCCATGCCCTGTGCAAGTTGAGATGCAGGGTGGCAGTTCTGTTGCACAGTAATTGAAACAACTATGGGGCAATAATGAGAAGTACAAGTATAAAAGTTTAAATACAGCACTGACTATTATTTAAGACAAAAGTTGCTTATAAACTGATTTTCCTCCTGCCTTTCACATAACCAATTGTATGTCACAAGTGGGAACCAGGGAAAAGCAGACTTTTCACTAAACATATTTAGTAAATAATGTAAAGCAGTGATTCTGTAAAAATGGAGCAATTCTGAGAAATAAAGGAGGAAGACTCAGTGATAATATTAGTTTAAACTCAAACTGAAACATATTGATTATGAACAGCTTTCTGCTTTAGCAATGTGAGGCATAAAAAGAAAAAGTGAGTATCACACAGCTTTTTGCCAAACTGGAATAACACCATTAAAACTCATATTGTGATAAATGTATGGGAGTGGAGGGGTTAAAAAAGCCTGAGAAAAATAATGTTCAAGCTATAAAGTACTCATTCTATCAGTATGCACTGTAGGTGAGCCTAAGAACATTACTTTGAGAAACAGCAGAAGAAGGTTTGTGTACTGATCCAGGGAAGATTTAAATGTTATTAAGTGATGTTTTGAATCACAAGCTTTTTTATTATATTGTTCAGAATATCACAGAATTGATAGGGTTGTAAGGAACCTCTGGAGATCATCCAGTCCAAACCCCTGCCAAGCCAGGGTCACCTGGAGCAGGTGACACAGGATTGTGACTAGGTGGGGTTTGAATGTCTCTGGAGAGAGAGACTCCACCACCTCCTTAGGCAGCCTGTTGCAGTGCTCTGCCACCCTCATTGTAAAGACGTTCTTCCTCGTGTTGAGGTGAAACTTCTTGTGGTTTAGTTTATGACCACTGTTCCTATCTTCTCAGTGGGCACCACTGAAAAGGTCTGGCACCCTCCTTTTGGCACCTGCCTTTGAGATACTTGTTCTCCAGACTAAACAGGCCCAGCTCCTGCAGTCTCTCCTCATAAAGCAGATGCTCCAGACTCCTGGTCATCCTTGTGATCATCCACTGGACCCTCTCCAGTAGCTCTTTGTTTGTCTTGATCTGATTCTAGATAAGCACTGAAAGTACCTATGTTATGGAATGGATAAAGTTGTAATAAATGTTTCAATTCTCTTGCAGTTAACCTTCTTTAGCACTCTGAAACAAATGAGGACAATGAATGAGAAGCTGGTGAATGAGATCTCAAAACCGAATGATGCAGATGTGAGTTACAAATGCTGGATGTTCTCTGTGTGTCTTTGATTCTCTTCTCGTGGTAGTTTATTCACAACCTGGAGCATACAGGTGCTCCTTGTGGCATAGATGTGCTCTGAGCTTACTTAGAGAAGTGACTGTGTGTGGACATTGCTATTGCATTTACATCTGTTCTTGTGCTTCTAGATGACATTGAAAAACGATGTGGAGATAATTGAGCTGAAATTTGGAGAAATTTTCAAAACTCTAGAAGTGAGAAAACAGCAATTACTAGAAGATGCTGGAAATCAAAGAAGTAAAAAAGAGAAGGAATTTCAGATTTGGAAGAAAATGAAAGAAACTCACAAGAAGACCATTGATAATTTTTTGAAGGATTGTGAAAAGCTTGTCCATGAGTGTGATCCTCAGTGTTTCCTGGAGGTGATGGCATTTTGGTTTTGATAGCATTTGTCTAAAGAACTCAAATAGAGCCTGCTGTATTGTAGATAAGATTATAATCAATCAGGAAAAAGAAAGTCAGCAAATGAAAAATATAGATTAAAATTACTTAACACTTCATACTATTTGTAACAATGTTTTTCATTTTTAGAAAAGTTTGAAAAAGTCTTATATGCTGCTTATCAGTGATTTTTAGTCTTTGCTTTCCTAAGAAGCTGCATATTGCTGATTTCTGCAATATTTTGATTTCTATGGTGCCTCCAGATAAATGGGACATTAAGAAAGTATAGAGTTTGACTAAGTGTCTGGTCAAGGACTTGTAAAGGAAAATGTAACTTTTACTTGAAGTAAAAGTAACTCTCACTTTTGGAAAAAATACTGTGATTCCAGTGATTTTTATGTCACTAATCACTGCCACAGCTCTCTTTCTCAGCTTACTCCTTTTCTTCCTGTTGTTCCTCCTCCCCCTCTTTTCTTGTTATTCCCCATCCTGTTCTCATCTTCTTTCTCCTATGTCTCCTGGTTTGATTCATATTCTGCCTGTTTCTTCTGTTTCTCTTTTGCTTTCTGTTCTTCCTCCACTTTTGCCTTTGGTTCTTTCTTAACTTCCTCATCTTTTTCTTCCCATTCCTCCTGCTAATCTATTTCCTCTTTCTGCTGTTTTTCTTTCACTTTCACTTAGCACCTCCCTACCTGCCCTCCATAACAGTGTGTTGGGTTTTTTGGTGTAAAGATCCAGTACAGTGAGATCACCAGGTTTTATAGGGAAGCAGCTCTAATCCTGTCAGGTCTTTTCATTACATGTTCTTTGGGAAGTCTCATGTGACCGGAAAAAGTGCACTGCACTTCTTGCCACCATGATCTGCCTGATTTAAAACTAGAAAACAGCATTTTTAGTAGTATAAGCATATTGAGAGCACAGAGCAGAGCCTTTCCTCTCCAAGAAGTACAAAATAGTCCTTCATTTGAATGTTTACAAGTATTTGAACTTCTGAAACTGATCAGGTGACAATATTGGCCATAATTTGAATGTCTTCATTTGGCTCTGAAGGAGTTTTTTTTGTATTATCACAAAATATTACAAGATAAACGATTGTGATAGACATACTTGTTTAGGTTGGGTTTTTTATGTCTGGTTGGTTTTTTAATGTTATCAGCATTATTTTCTATAGTTCTGTGAAATAAAGACAGATACTTTAGTCTCTGAAGTATTTTGATAAAGCAATAATTTCCTGGTAGTTGGAGAAATGCTCATGTCTTACAAATTCTCATTTTATTTATAGGTTGCCTGTGGCTTGAATTCAAGGTATATTTTTTCATGTTTTGTTAGTTCTCTAGTTTTCTTTTAGATTTTTAAGATTAAAAACTAAAAAAATAGCTATATTTGATATCTTAAGCAATTTTAAATGAAAATAGTATTGAGTAATTAAGAGATTATAATACTTTCAGATTTTTGGATGCCCAATATTGCAAATTTTAGGGAATGTGTCAAGAATTTGAGTGACGTACTATCTGAGATTAGAGATAATCAAGCTTTTAAATTATCTCCCTAATAAAAAGCAAATATAGAAATTCATCAATACTTGGGGATTAGATATTTTCAGATATCTTATTTGAACTCAGGAACACTGTAAAGCATGCTTGAAACTTACAGAAATCTTTCGGTGTAAGAGTGTGTGGAGATTGTGCAGTACCTTTGGTTTTGTGTTGGTAGTGCACATA